CAAATCCCTAATTAAAACTACTCCCGACTCATAACTGAGGAATCAATAAAATTGGGAAGAATAGAAATAATTGTCATTAATTAAAAAGTAGGAACTTACAAAGAATCCCAAAAGATTGATGAACAAGGCTTTAAAGCTCTCTAAATTTCGTGCTAAGCACTCTTTCTAAGCCCCATCCAAAACAGGGGTTTACAGGCTGTTTAAATAGGAAAAACGGAGCAATTCGGGTTGAATTAGGACTTAAACGGGGCACACACGGCGCCCACGCACGCGTGCGTGGCGTGCATGCGTTCGATAGACTTGTGTGTAAAAACGTTGGACGCACGCGTGTGTCCCCCCCCACGCACGCGTATGTGGCTGCTAGTGAGTTTTCCGGCTTCTCTAGTCCGAATTGGACAAAAGTTTCTTCATGAAAGTTGTAGATAATGAAGTTCTCTATCCACCACAACTTGCCGAATTGGATTTGAATCATCCAATCAAGAGATATGAATAAAATAGTGGAAGGTCTTATTCTGAAATCGCAACAGGGATCATCTGACTTGATCGTCTGATTTTGACTCCAATAAACATAAAACTTGAACCAACGCCTGGTAACATAACTTGAGCTAAAATTGAGACTTGTAATACCTAAAAGTTAGGAAAACCATCAAAAGTCGATCCTAACACGAATCAAATGCGTGTCAAAATATGAACTTATCACCTTTCCATCCTCGGCCGCCATGAGCGGTCCTTCTTGTTCTGTCCGCCAGACCCGTGGCGGCTCTATCCTCCCTGACCTCGGTCCCCGGCTGAGGGTGCGCCTGGATCTGGCGCAATATTTGTCTTCTTGGAGGGTGCCCTCCGTCCTTCTTGTGGCTGTGGAGCTTGTCGGCGTCAGCGTATAAGTTCCCTCGCTGGAGCGCCTTCGTATAGGACCTTGGAGGGTCAGTGATGAGACTCCTCGCATATGGGGTGCTGCGGAGGGCACCTTGGAAAAGTACAAGTAGGGTGCGCTCGTCGTCCACCTCAACCTCATCGGTCTCCCTTGTCCATCGGTCGATGAACGACCGAAGTGATTCGTCATGTTGCTGCTTAACGGAAAGAAGATGAGTGAAATATTTCTTCGCGCGCTTCCTCCCGGCAAAGTGGGTGAGGAAGCGTTGGGTAAGATCCTACCACGAGTCTATGCTTCCTTCGGGGAGCGTGTTGAACCACTCGTACGCTGGCCCTTCAAGAGTGGAAAGGAACCAACGACAGAGGTATTCATCCGACGCGTTCACCATCAGATAGTGGCTGAAGTGCTCCTGTGGGTCGGAGCGGCCGTCATAGGGCTTGATGGTGTTTCCCCTGTACTTCTCGGGAATGGGAGCTGAGAGTATCCTCGTAGTGAAGGGAGTCCTGGTCCGGACCTGGATGATAGGGTCACCTCGTCCCTCGGCCAGCTCCCTCTCCAGGGCGCTGACCTTATGCAATAGTGCGTTGTAACCAGGATCCCCGGAAGTGTTGACCGTAGGGATGGTGTCTGATTATCTCGCCTCCATCTAGGCCAGTCTCCTTTCCAGTTGGGCGAAGACCTCGTCCCGAGGGTCCTTGGTAGCTATAGTGGCACCTTGCTGGTTGCGCACGCGGGCTTCGTAAGCCGTGTTGATTCGATGGCGCGCATCGTCCGTGTGCAGCTTGCCTTTGCCTTTGTCCAGGCGGGGTCGATCCGCTGTCCAAGATACGGACCCCAAGCTTTCCCTTGGTGAGCCAGGCTCTCGTCCACCAATCCGTCCCGCCATCCTCTCCGAAGCAGGCCGACAGCACGTATCACCTAACCTATTAAAGGTTGAGGCTTTTCCACGCGCTGGGACCTGTCCAGCTCGAAGTGGGGAAGCAGGGTGGGAGTGGGACGACGATGTGTCTTGGGGCACCACCCCCTCATCGTTTCCTAACTTGATGGCCAATGGCTGGGGCTGAGGAGGTGGTGTAGTGTTCTCCTCGGTCCTTGGCATGAGTGCACTAAGGACGGTGGGGTTCTGGGCCAAACTGGCAATGATGGCCGAGAGTGCGGCTTGGAGCCGAGGGTCAACGGCGGGAGAAGCCGGTTGCCTCGAGGCACTGTCGCCCTTCTCCAGGTGCTTCTTCTCTAGGCTGATGCGGGCGCCAGGGGCGCCGCCGTTGAGCTGATGGCGAAGATCATTCGTGAGGTCGATGGCCTCCTGAAAAATATCCCCGCCCGTAGCCTTGTCGGCCGTAGCGTCCTCCTCATGTTCCCTGTTCTCTTGGGCCTCAGGGATTTCCTTGCCGAGGAGGTTGCAGTTGGACTTTGTTCTTCCCATGGTCAGTTAGCTGTGCTTGGTAGCGACAAAGGATGCTAACTTGATTGTTCCAGGTCTCAATGAAAGCACCAAATGATAGAGTATATGTTCTAGAGAGAAGGGAGAGCTAGAGAGAGAAGTGCAATAAATTCTTGCTACTAATGATTTGTGAACCCCCTTACAACTACTCCCAAGGGGAGTATTTATAGAGGAAATTAGGGCTGGGCTCCCAAGTCTTGGGCCTGGGAGGCTCATTTACAATTGGGCCACTATTGGGGCGAGTACAAAGAATGTAGAAATGACTAGGTGCATAATCCGGTTCTGTGAGCTATTTCTGGCCAACGAGGGTCTTACCGACGGAGCCATGGCCGACGGTGACACCCGGTTCTCCTGTCTTCTGGATCATAATCTGAGTCGATATCTTTCTGGCCGATGGAGGGCCATCTGGCCGACGAAGGCCCCACTGGGTGAAAGCTGTGCCCCTTATTCTTCTGAGTGTGTGGGTCCTGGGGTCCAGACCCATATACTCCATCAGTCTCCCTCTCGGGTGACTGCATCTACGGTGAAGATCTCTGTTACAACTGCATCTACTAGCGATCAACGATGGAGTAAGAAGACGATCGGTGCTAAGTCGCCGACTTCATCACAGCCAACGCACGCCGCCGTCGATACCTTCACCGCAGACAACACATGCCATCTCATCGCAGAAAACCCATGTCGGTGTTCCCTTCGTCGCTGCCAACCCACGCCGCCACCGCTGTCTTCGTCGCAACCAACCCATTATATTACGGTCATCCCGTCCAGGTTTGTACCCTTCTTCTTTAGCTTACTATGACCGAGATTCGTCACGATCATCAAATTTGTGATGACGACTACAGTGATATGGGGTTAGATTTCGATGATGACCGTCACATCTACGACCACCATCGATGATGTCTTACGATTGGAGTTTGGCTATATGGGCGGCGTCTACACTTGTGGTGCGATGGCTTGGCGGTGGAGGTTGGGGGTTGAGTGATGGAAATAGTGGGTCGGGTCGTGGTTGGGCTAATCGGGGCTAGATTGGAGTATGGGAGGGTGGTTGGGGGTAGTTCAGGGGGCGGAGTAGGACATGGGGGTAGGGGGTAGGGTTTAGGGTGGTGAGGATGGGTAGATGGAAGTGGTCGTGGGATGTTGGTGGCGGTGGTAACTTTCCAACCATTGAGGTTCCTATTTTGTCGGGAAAAAGTAACCGCAAAAATTTTCGCCGGTCGCAATGACTTGTTTCACGACGGCAGTGACATCTGACATGAAAATCAGGCAGTTACAACTTTTAATGACATGTAAAAATCACAGCAACATAATTTTTTGGCAATGACATCATGGTTTTCCAAAATATATGACCTCTTAATCACAATTTTGTCAATATTTAAAAGTAGTCACATTTTTGGAACTTGACTTCAACTTAGTATCATTCAGGGAAAATCCCCTTTCAATGACACCCTTGTGAAAAGTAGATTATATGAAGTGAGAGAGATAAATGAGTATAAAGTAGAATATGTTAGATTTTTGTAAAATCTTACATGGTATCAGTTTAGCTTCAGATTCGATCAATGCCGCCACTTGTCTCGATTTTCTATTCTTCATTTCAATCACTCAGTTTCTAAAATGCCTAGCGCTAGTAGCGATCCTGATGTTCAAAACCCTAGTCTCACCGAAGATCCTTCAACGCCATATTACCTGCATCCAACCGATCACTCAGGTGTTAGGATCATCTACAAAACATTGAGATGTGCAAATGAATTGAAGGATGTTTGTGAGCGTAGAAGTGGTCTTCTCCCTAGATTTTGTCTGGGGTTTGTCTTTCGGGCAGACGGCCTGCGTTGTTTCTTGTTCGACGAATGATTTGGAGCGAGAGTGGAAAGACGGTCATTATCACGCTCTGCCTCTCCATGATCTGCTTCTCTAGGGTTGATGTTTTTGGATGTGCTGCTATGGATCGAATCTGAAGGCCTGTGATTGATGCATTCGATTGGAAAATCGCATGACAATTTCTTGATCGAGTTCTGAGCAAAGCAGAAGACAGATCGGTAGACCGCCCCCTCTTGAACCGCCGCCCTAGAGAGACCGAGGTGCTAGAGTTCGGAAGATGATACTTCAAGAATACAAGCAAGAAGGAGCTTGAAGTATTTGCCAATTTTTTTTTTTTTTATGGTCTTACTTTCATGTTAAGTTTGTTTATGTTGCTTTTTTTGTTGATGTCTTTAATTTTAGGTCTACAATAAGGATTGACAATTCTGCTCTATATTATGTCGTTAGAAGGATCTATATGACCAGTGATTGCTATGTCATACCCGTTTGGTGGTTAGCGATTCATATTGCTTTTCCAGGGTTGATTGTTTCAAAGTTCAGTTGTAGGGTTGATAGTGATATTTGGTTACAAATAATTGTTGTTAGTGTCGATCTTTTTGAATTTATTGTAACGATCTGAATCTAATACTATTAATATAAGTGATTTTTCCTTTCAAAAGAATTAGATTACAATTTTCTTATTTATTATGATCTATTTACAATTGGTCTGATCTTGTCTAAATATATTGAATAGAAATTTAGTTTACGTGTATTTTATAATTATTGAAGTTTGATTTATAATTTAATCTATTTAAATCTGGTTTCCTAAAAATATGATCAAATTACAAGTTTGAATATTAATGAGTATGCCATATCTCATTGGTTAAATAGGGTTATCAAATCGCAGCTTCTCGTGTTTTACTTCTGATGTACTTCTTCTATGGGTAATCAATCCTTCTAGACTCACAAATTCGCAATAAGGTGATTGCTTCATTGATCACAGTCAGACATTCAACCTCAGCCTGAAGAATACCGAGCAAAAGACCACTCATGTTAAAAGTTCATTCTTTCTCATTATCATCTTCTTCCATTCACCAATTCTCTGCGCCTTCAATGATTCACCGTTTTGCCTAACCGGTACAGCCAACGTTTCCCATGGCGCTCCCGCTAGGCAAGGTGGCTTTCCTCTTCGGTACCGGTCAGTACACATCCTTGTCCCGGCCAATGCATGCTTATAGGCATATCTCGTTCAATTTGCATCCTATGTGACGATGTGCGTGCATGCGTTTTGGTGTTACGTATGTTTGAGATGATCTTCTTTTTATTCGCCAGTGAATTTCTGGTTTTGATATCAGTACCAATTAAATTACGAGCTTGGGACGTTGGGTTTTCTTCCCACGTGCACTTATTCTAGAAGAGCCATTAGCATCTGTACTGTGCCCAAAATGGCAAACTTGTTTTATTAGTGGTTCTAGTTTTAAATTACTACGAAATATTATGCTTGAATGTTAACTAATTTAAGTCAGTAAGCCGCTTAAAGCTGAATTGTTAATTGAGATTTTGATTAAGGAATGTAATTGTGAAGGTCTTTAGTTGGATACATATCTCTTGACACAGTCCTTTCCCATATGGCTTTCTATATATACCACAATTTACCAAAACTTGCCTAAGAAGGCCAATTTGTGAGTGATATCACTTTCCTCCACAAGTTGTCACTGTTGTGCAAAAAATATCTGTTCAAAAAACAGAGCATATTGGGTGCATTTTTACAAGTGATACTTTTTAGCCCAATAGTGTTAGATACGAGCTGATAGGGACAAGTCTCACGGGAGTGAGCTGTGTGAGACCTAATCTAAAGAGCAACCTCTATGAGACTAATAAGAGTGTCTCACACAAGTGCTACTATCTATAATCTACGTATTATATTTAATTATTAATGAACTTCAGCTTTATAAATTGAAGGAAACTAAAAATACAGAAAAAAGAATGTTCAGGTCACAATTTGCATGCTTACTCATGAACCTTCTTTAACTCTGCTTTAAGTATTTTGTCTTTCTTGCTGGGAGAGTTTTACTTGTAGAAAGCATTGACTGCCACTAGAATATATATTTTTCGAGAAATGCATCAATACTTGCCATTACCACACTGAAGCCCAGATCATTTGACGTTCTTCATTTGATAGGTGTTGTTGTGTCAGCTCTGGCCAAAGAGTCAAGTTTCAGTGACTATTTGTCAGGTGCATTTAAGGTGTGATTTACGAATGCAGCTTTAATTCCCTATGGCTATTTGAATGGCTTCTTTTCTGTTTATATATTTAACATGATCATTAAATTTGGCGTAGCAGCTCACTACTTCATTCTTTTGTTGCAGGTATTCTTCAAGCAAATCAAGGAAGATAGTTCAAAAAATTCAAATCATAAGCCTCGTAGTGATGCTTTGTTGCAGCAGGTATGCAATATGCTTTTGTGTTGTCTTTTAGATTATTTTCCTTAGTTTGATGGATTATGTAGAGAGTATGAACCATTTTATCTTGAATTATTAGATGTAAAACTATGTGCAAACTCACATAAAAAAACAGAAAGGGCAATTGCATTTTTCATCTCTTCGCTGTGGAGCTGCGGTGCACTTGTCGAACTGGGTCCTGATATTCTTTAACATGGAGTTTGTCCTCATCAGTGCTCAACATATGATGGGTCTACTGGGTTATTGAAAAAAGGGAAAAAAACTTCCCTAATATATCCGTTAAAGACTAGGTTCTATAATTTTAGTATGCTACCAGTTGTCGAGAAAAGTGTTTGAGGCGCACACATCCAAGTGACCTAGTGAATCGCCAGGAATATGCACTCAGGCTTCCACTTCTCCTTGTGACAGAGAAGCATATACCTTACTTAATAGAAGCTTACTAATATTCTTCAAATATTGGGCTGTTTTTTCCCCAGCAAAACAAGACTGACTCCTGATTAAAAGATTTATGCGTCTTTTGGGTATACTGAAAGGAAAATTGCTAAAGAAAAATTTCCTGAAGCTTGTTTTAACTTATTAAACTTGTAGTGGCACATTTTCATGAGTACGAGACAACTTCTAACCTTTTAGGACACCATTTGCTTCACATTACATGTTAGGGATTGATTATCCCATTACGGTAGGGATAAAATGTAATTATCTCGGACAAATATCATATCTCTTAATCTGTGGTTATGAAATTTTGTTAATGGCTGAAGCTCATAGGTGACAAGTGGATGATTCAGTATTTCAGTATTCATATAATGGACTCATTCATAGTACAGCAAGAATGATTAAAAAGAGAAGTTGAGTTACGATTTATCATTTCATGTGTACGACTATTTTTTATGAGAATAAGCTTTGTATTGAAGCAACTTCTCTGATTTGCTAATCTTTTAAACTTCCAACGTTCTGTTAGGAACATTTACCAATATTTTGTTGAAGTGCGTGAAGGTTATTTCTAGCAATTTGAATATATAATTACCTTATCAGGTCAATAGATTGCAAGAGGAGCTGCGGCTCCTGGCATCAAATAGATCTGTAACTGTGGTGACTTCTTATGGTTCAGGTATGTACAAGTTATCTACGTAACAAAGCAATTGGGTCTCATGCACCTGTTTTGCATTTCTGAGTTTTGACCTGACCTAAAAAATTTAGTTTTGTTGTATCTATTTTTTACTTTGCTGAATTTAACCTTCCTTCAACTCTCAAAGAATCTACCGAGTCTTGACCCTTGAAGGTTGGTTGCACTCATACTCCCTCTGTTCCTGAATTTGTTCATATAAAAAAAGTCTCCAGAGCTCTAGAAAAATGAATCTTTACATGATTCTAATGCACATGCATTAATTGATTTTTAATCTGGAAGATCTCACTTGGAAAAACTAATCAATACTCTGGTTTTTTATAAACTATAAATATTTTGGAACAAATATTTTTCTCCAAAGCATTACTTTGGAGTTAGCGGTGCTTGCAAACACCTGTGCAAGAAACATAGCCTAACTTTTTTAATTGGTCCCACTGCTTTGTATTTATAATGGCATCCTCACTTTCACTTTCTTCCCAGGGACAGTCTCCCACACCCTACTATAGAATTAAGGAGCATTCCTTTTGTGTTAGGAGATCTTACAACTACATTGTTTTATTTGACACTTTGATTTTTTTTAGGTTCTAGTGGTAAATATGGCTTGATTTTGGTGGTTGTGGTGGTTGGATATGGATATATTTGGTGGAAGGTAATCTCTTGTAGATTATCATTTATAATTTTTCCATGTGGCTATTATTTATTAACAGTAATATACGTTGGGGATAATTCATTTTTTTGGTGATTGATGAGCCATATTTATATCACATATTGCATGCCACTTAAGGATATACTTTTGATTTGTTCCCTCTCCATATTTACCATAGAATGAAGTTGTTTAGATCGTAATTCATTGACCTTCCGTTTTGCATTGCTGGGAAGTTATCATGCCTTCAATTGCTTGTTTCCTGACGTTTATTCTAAAGACAGCCAATCACAATATATATACTATTTACGTGTGGATGGGGTTTCCAGATGCTTGCTATTTTAATAGTGGGTGCATAGTTTGGGTGTTGATTTTGTCAACTGTACGTTTTAGTAATATCCTGAAATATTCAGCATACCTGTGGATATTTTCTCAAAGTTGATATCACCAAGTTTCTTGTAAAATAGAATTGACAGAGTATGAGTGCTATCCAAGTTATTATTTGGATAAATCCGCAAATTTCCAATTGTCCATATGCCTGATGTGTGTAACAAAATTTTAAAATTGATTTTCATTCTTTTTGTACATGAATGCCATCACATACCTTCAATCAAAACTATTCAAATATCATGAGTTGGTTTCTTTAGAAAAGATGATATTCCCTTTTACATTTGAAATTTGAAACCTCAAGGACCTCATCCTGGTATAAATGTTTTATTACTACAGTCTACAAGGACCTCATTTTGGTATAAGTAATCTCATTTTTAGTTACTTCACGGACCTCATTAGTTGCTTTTGCCTTTTGCATTTACAGCAAACAAATTTAAATGATTATGCAATAGTTGATTACTCCCTCCGTATTCTATTGTTTGCTGCAATAGGGTTTGGCACACTATTTGAGGTAGAAGTACTAGGGGTAATGAATAGTGTAGAAAAAGTAAGTGAGAGGGTGGAAAATATGAAAGAGAAGATGAAAAGTAGAAAAAATAAGGTAATTGAGTATTTTATAGGGAAAACTTACCAAAAAGAGAAAGTGTAACAAAAGTTAAAATACATCCCCAAAAGGAAAGTGTAGCAAACAAAAGAATACGGAGGGAGTATGAATTTATCATTATTCACGACAACCTCGTTAAAAACTTAAAATGGTATAGTGTGTTTTCCCATTTTGTGGATTATATTTTTCATAAAGCAAAATGACTCACTAAACTGTCTGCGCTTCTTTGTTATGAAGCAGTAGTCAGTCCATGCAATTTTGGACGGGATTTTCACTATGGGTCATCCGGAAACAGTCTCTCTGTGCTTTAGTACAGGGGTAAGACTGCGTACATCCGACCCCCCCTTACCCCACCGTAGGTGGGAGCCTTTACGGCACTGGGGTAAATGAAAATGATGAAATGAATGATGTTCAAGTTTTGATAAATACCTGTTACTTTATACCATACTGATAAGTTGATATTGGTATATCATTTAATATTTCCATGAAATGAAGGTACTCATGATTTCAATATGTTGACCATTCATTAAAGTTGATTCATATTCTCAAATCTCAACCTCCAATTTCTATTTTCCTACCTTTTCCATTTTGACACTTGCTTTCCTATTCCTATTTAGGGTTTTCTTATATTGCTGTGCCTGAACATAATAATTTGAATCTGCAGGGTTGGAAGCTTTCTGATTTCATGTTTGCAACCCGGCGTGGTTTAGCTGATGCATGTACGAGTGTATCCAAACAACTTGAGAGTGTTAACGCATCTGTTTCGGCAAGTTTTTCCTATTTGATACCTCCATTTCTTATACACAAACATACATGGTTACGTACTTACGTTTGGGTATATTTATTATTGTGTGTACGAAATTTAACAGTTTTACAAAATATAATAAGAAATAGGAGTTGAGGGACTTACAATCTTACCTCTTTAATTGTGAGCTTAAAAGAACTTGCCTTTGTTGCTATGAGCGAGTTTTCAAAGATCTTGTCTTTGCAGCAGTTTGGAGTAACACTCCAGCTTTTCTTATTTGAATGCATTTCTTTATTTCTACTTTCGAGAGCTCACACAATTTTATCAGCTATTAGATTTTTATTGTATACTCCACTGAAGGGGTTATCTTTTTAGTTATCTATGAGATTTTCTAGCTATCTTTTTGGCTCCAATTTCATATGTCGATTCATGTTAGCCAATCTCAAACTCTTTTGGGATTAAGGCTTGGATGTTGTTATTGTTGTACTCCACTGAAGGGGTTCTTATGTATTCCAGGCAACAAGACATCACATATCTTCCCGCATTGACCGTGTTGATTGTAAAGTAGATGAGTGCACAGATTATACAGCTGCTATAAAAGAGGAGGTGGGGTGGGATCTAAAAAGTTTTTACTAGTTTTCTTGTTTCTTATTAAAGGTTTCTGTCCACTGAACAGCTTCAACCTGTAACTTAGGTCTCTGAATTTCAAGGGAAGGTGAAAATGGTTGACAGTAATCTCCAATCAGTTCAGCTTGTTGTCCAAACTCTGGTAAGCATTTTTTTTATTGTTGTAGCTCTCATGTGTTGTGCCGAATTCTGTTAAAACATTTCTTTTTGGTGATGGGAATGTGAACTATTGGATTTTTTTTGTGGCACAGGAGACCAAAATTAGCAGGATAGAATTGATACAGGTATATCACGTGAACGGATTGATGAATTTCACTATTATTGGTGCCTTTTTTTTGTTACCTAATAGTAGTTGTGCCATGTTGATGTTTATAGAACGACACAATTTTTGGCGTGAGAGATTTGGTTACTTATGCAAAGAACTTGGAGAATGAAAGAGACAAGGAACAGATTGAGGTATGATATATATTTTCTTCATTACTAATTTAAGGATATACGGAGTATATGTTTATGTGTGTGTGTATATATAGTTTTTGTTTCCAATAAAAAGTGGTGTTCCGGTTAAAAGTTGTTACGACTCCACTTCTAGTCGTATTCGTTGCACTATTACATTCACATGATTTCCGCTTTGCACTTTTGATCATGTACGTTGCACTATTGCGTTCAGAAAGTGCACTTTTTACAATGAAGAAAACTTTTTATTTATGAAATGACTCAACGTATTTATCCAATTTATTGCATTTTTGCACATTTGTAGCCATTAAATGATCACAAATATGATTCACCAATATACATACATACATATACATAGATACATACATAAAATACTCATTCCGAGTTATACCATGCTTTTATTCTACAGGCATCAACCTCGTGTTTAACAAGGCCTGCTCTTGAATTGCCAGAAGTGACTGCTTCAACCATGGTGATTTTTGAACCTTCTTCATTGATTTTAACAAGTATCAACCTGTTGTGTAAAAATACGTTGTCTTTTTTATAAAGGAACTCTTCCAGTGTAAAGTTTTTCGTGTGTAATCAATATGGGGTTGGGGTGGGCAGTGTTCATACTTGAAGGGTATTTTTGTAAGGGGGATTGGCTATGGTTATTTTTAAATTAGAAGAATTATACTAATTTGATTATTTAATATCTCTTGGTGGAATATTATCAAGTTAAAGCAGTAAATTCAGAAATGAAAAGTAACCCGTCCCATCCTTTCTATTAACCCTCCATCCAAACAGGCCTTAATGAATTCTTCACCTTTCGGTGTGTGGCTTCCTCAAGTGGTTCTCTCAAAAAATTGTCTAAACTCTAAAAACTTTGAGAGAACTATCTTAAACTTTTGGTTGCTACTTATTTGGAATCCCTTCTCTATATAGAGTCTAGGTACTCATTGTTATTATTGACTTCAATATATTTTTCATATCCATCGCAGGCATGTCCCTTGCTTCCTAGTGCAAATGTTGAACCACTATCTCCATCTGTTTCAAATGGACTCCAGAAGGTTTGTTAATAGGCTTAATCCATTAATCAATTTCAAATTCACTTTCACAATTTATGTTGTCCATTTTTAGACATTAAAAAGTGCAAAAGGCACATTGAGCCCTTTAAATCAATTTTTTTGCATTAAATCTGTTTCCCGAAATAACTGTTTTAAGTTACAGGAGTCCCTGCTTGCAGTTCTTTCTTCCTCAGGCGTAAAGGTAGGGAGAGATAACACCTCAAAAATTGTCCATATCCTACAAGCTCAGTCTTTTAACAATTAGGTTTCTTTTATAGATACATCGCGGATTATTAGATGTGGAAGTAATGACGAGCCGAAGCAGCAGTATTCCTTCTCGGGTTACAAGTGCACCTCCCACACCATTGTGTTTCAACACTCGAAATTCAACTTCTGCCCTGTTTGGGCGAACACTATCTGCTAGTGCCGTTGACTTTTTGACAAGAAGCCGAGGATCATGCCAAACTTCAAAGTAGGCTTCCAAGTTGGATATATATCTTTTATTTCATGTGGAGCATTTTTGTTTATTGAGCTGAGTTTTGAGTGCCCTAAATATGGTATTCATTGAAAGGCTTAGTTTAGAAGTCCTGTCTAAATATTTTTATCTACTCATTGGGTAGATACTTAGATTGCACAGAATTAGAGCAACAAATGGACGAAATGGTTGCAAACGACCAACTTCAACATCTTAAAAAAGCGTTGGGTCTATATTGAATCCCAAAATTTGGAATTGCTTTCACTGGGAGTCCTGTAACTTTTTACAATAAACTTTTCCTTGATCGAGATTTAGGGGGTCTCTCCAATTAAAAGATCATGAATTTTGAAATTCGAGGGGAGTCTATAAGATTGTGGTGAATTGTTTTTGTATATAGAAATTCATCGAAATCCATTAAAATCCGTGAAAATAAGTAACAATAGAAATTCACGGAATGTTTAAGGAATTAAGGACACCCTTATTTACATGGATTCTACAGAAATTCAAATCGGGAACACCTGAATTCTGATGGAATTTTAAATTTCATTAAATTCTTACAGAATCCGAATTGGGTACACCCCTTTAATTTAGATTTGCAGCGAAATAGCTTGTTTCAATGTTAAATATAAAAGGCGAAACTTCTATTCTACTTTTTTCATCATTGAATGGGGACATTTAAATACCGCTTCATTGTATTTCTTGGAAAATGTATTTTTTAGGACAAAGGTAGATTCAGAATTTTAGATTGGGTTGGGTACTTGGGTCTATGAGATTGTACTAGGTTTTAAGCAATAGTTGGGTGAGTAAAATGGAAAAGTGAAAAAGTTTACCCTAAAAAAACAGTAACATCCAAATTTTATTCCTAAAAGATCCCCAAAAGTCTACGCTAACAAATTAAAAAAAATCATTTTGCATTGGGCTACAGTTTTAAAGCAATAGTTGGATGGGCTACAAAGTACAGACCTACAGTTCACTACGTATAATTTTAGAGAGTGTTTGCATTTGTTTATATTTATCAAAAGTGATTTATTTAATACATTATTGGAAAAGTGATTTATAGTAAAAGTAGATGGTGCTTGGGAATAAAAGTGATTTTAATTAAAAGGTAAAAGGTGAAGTGTTGGTAAAAAAGTGATAATTGATGTATTATATTTTTAAAATACAAAATACCCATCCACAAATCAAATTAAAAAGAGAATTCAAAAATAAAAATGGAAGATGGAAAGCTCTCTCCAGCCATACAAGCTCCGTCGACGGTCGCAACGAAGATTAGGCTGGTGGAGGAAAAATCTTGGTTGTCAACAGATAAGTCTCCGTTCACAGTCGCAATGAAGATAAGACTGTTAAACTAGATTACATTATTGCAGGGTTAACGACTTGGAAGGATTCATGATATATTTTCCGTTTTAAGTCTTGTCCTATTGTAGCCTTAGACTATTCATTCATTTGTTTCTTTGCTATCATTTAATGAATATATTAGTTACATTTTAGTTTTTGTACTATTGAAAGAGTCTATACAAGCTTGTAGATTTATGGACGAGATGATATTTAAGAGTTTTTTTTTTTTAAAAACAAAAGATCTTCTTTGAGAAGTTACACAGAGTAACATATAAGAAAAGTCTATGGACATGTTTGGTAAATGGCTGATCAGCCATTTTTCAGCTTCTTTGACCATATTTAATTGGGTTGACAAGTTAAATTGTTTAAATTATCGTTTGGTAAATAGATGGTGTGTTTAGCTGATTGGCCTTGAAAAGCCAACTTTAAAAAAGCTAGCATTAGCAGCGTTTGGGCATGGCTTCTTCGTAATAATTATTTAATACCAATGTACTCCTTTATGCTTTATATCTACCCCAGCCACCAATAACGGCACACATGAGTTCACGATTTGTATATTTAGCTTCCCACTAATGTATCATGTGTTTTGCATGATTTCATGATTCAAATTATATTAATTTTTTAGTTATTTTAAAAACTACGAATAAACATGATTTTTTAAGTTCATATTATTCAAATTAAATTAAAATGGTTCTTTTAATTTATTTTATTTTTCATGTAGTTGTATTTATATATTTTTAAAATTTCCAAAAAATGACTGATTTATATACTAAGTAAATTTAGGTAGTATTACTTTTATATGAAATAAGATATAACTAAAAATAAGTCAAAACACTAATGTCCTTATATGTCTTTTTACACGTAAACAACTATTGTTGAACAACTAATTTACCAAACATTTGCAAACAACAAGCTAACATAATCAGCCAATTAAAACAGCTGACACAATCAGCTATTTCAATCAGCTGTCATAACCAGCTAACAGCTAAAAGCCGATTGCCAAACAAAACCTATAACTTTTAGAGTATTGTTGAAGTTTATTCCCCTCAACCCACAGGCCCAACACGTAACCTGGGGGTTTCGAATGGGTAGAAGGCAAATGAACTCACTAAGTCAACGGGGGGTGGATTAAATAACAACTGCTTTCTTCAATATTATGATTACAAGCCGAAAGGCCGAACGTACTGGAAATATGCTACGTACTGCTGACGCTATTACAACTCTAGAGTAACGATGTGCGAACCCTTTACAATGAAATAAATGCGGCTATTTATAGTACGGACGTGGGCGACATGATTCCAATCACCAAATCTTCAGCATTAAATGCTCTTCCCGCCAAGATCTTGGTTTCCCGCCATAACGCGGGGGACGTCCGTCCCCTAAATTGGACTCAACTCTTTGATGGCAACCTGGGCCTTTAAGTATAGCCCACAAGACGTCCATCCCCAGGTCCTTGGACCCTGAGGTCTGGCTATACCGGGATACATACGTCCCCTGGCCCTTGGACCCTGAGGCCTGACTATGACAGGCTACGTACGTCCCATGGCCCTTGGACCCTGAGGCCTGGCTATGACGGGCTACGTACGTCCCCTGTCCCTTGGACCTTGAGGCCTGGCTATGACGGGCTACGTACGTCCCCTGGCCCTTGGACCTTGAGGCCTGGCTATGGTAGGCCACGTACGTCCCCTGGTTCTTGGGCTTCAGGGGTTGATGGGCCGGTCCTGGGAGGCCATTAACCCAACAAGTATGTTTGGCACAACTAGTTGAAAAGTTTTTTTGTGAGCTTTCTAATAACTATTACTCCGTAGCTTTTAGTGACTGAAAAGATTTTAAAAGAAGTGATAATTGTTTGATAAAAAGTTGTCTGTTTGATTTAATTATATTTGGTATATAAGTTGGTATAACTAATTAATGCTAAAAACTACACATTTTTTTTCAGATGCTACTCTGTGCTTCTTAAAAAGATCTTTTATTTTGAGAAGAGCTCTTACAAACCATCACGCCAAATATACAATCAAAAGTTTTTAGAAACTTTTCAAGTTCGGAGTAGTACACAAGTTAGAGGCTTATATATGTCTACCAAAAATGCACCTAGTATAATTAATCACAAGGGTTAATTCCCTTGATAGGACTAAAAGTTCAAAGTTTAATCGGAGTAAAAGTGTAATGACTTGACTAGAATAGCCTTAATGAAGTTCAACATTTATTTACAATTAAAAAATAGACAAATACCTCAAAATCAAACCAAAACCCTAGCACTACATGCCTCCATTTCTATAATGTAGCCACCGCCTAGCGAGTCAGCCCCCACTGACGTTAGACAAGTTCGCCGCCACCGTCCGACGAGCCTGTCGTTGTCTAGTGAGTGGGTCTGTCGCCACCATCGCATGCCTCTAGTGGGCCTGGTACCGTCCTCCACCAAAGCCGCCACCGCCGTGCTTTGATGAGGTTGATCACCGTCGTCGTCCTCTGCTGATGATTCACTCCCAGCCACCGCGTCATCCACTCCTGCCACCTCCTAGAGCATTTTGTTCTAGATATTAAAAATGATTTAAAGACTAATGTCATGTCAAAATAATAATGACATTATCATGTAAAGTTATGGCATTCACATTACCAAAATATGGCATCACAAACATGGCATTAGAAGTGATATTACCATCTTCACAAAATCAGTGTCATAAAAATGGCATTTTGATGTTGAAAACATTTTGTCATATTACAACATTCCAAAATAAAATGGCATAAAAATGGCATCAATTTTCCAAGTGAATAATTCATTTTGAAGATCACGAAGAAATATCGATGTAATTTAAAAAAAAATTAAATGAAATGAAATTAATTAAAAAGTCAGATTGAAAATTTTCCAATCGCAGATTGTTTAAGCCTCCCATTTTTGGGTACGAGTTTTGAGATCTAGAAACTAGTATTCCAATGAGAAATGGTGCTAAATAGGAGCTTAACTTATGGTATGTAATTAAATAAGAGCTTGACTTTTTTTACTCCTAAATAGGACCTAATTTTAGGAAGTTTCCAAAATTGCCCCTGTTTCTTAAACTCATACAGAAGCTCAGATTTCCGTTATTTTCATTCTCTCCTTGAGCTCAGCCTTCAAATTAGACGATCTTCATCTCACCTTCGATGAACTGCTGCGATCGATTAACTGCCGCCATCGATCAACTGCCGCCATCGATCAACTGCCGCCATCGATCAACTGCTGTGATATTCACATAGCTTTTTGTTTGCGACAATCATCTTCACCTTCATCTTCGTTTTAAATTTCAGGTAATTAATTTTATATTCTTGAATTGTATGATGATTGTGTATCAGAATTGTTTTCATTTGTGTTTACTTGTTGATAGTCGTATGAAGTTTTATTGTAGTTCTATGATTAGGAGAGCTGGAAGTATTATGAATGCTTTATCATCATTATCGTTTTTCCTGTCTCTAATCTTCTTTAATGTTCATTATTTTTTCCTTCTTTTCATATTTCTTATTACATACGCTTTACTCTTCTGGATTTATCTTTGGTTTGACATTGTAGATAATTCATGACATTGTTTTACATTCATGTCATTTGTTGTATTTCCAGGTGTCGCAGACATGGATAATAATATTCTTGTCATGGTTAAAGTTGATGGATACTGGAATCCTGATAATGTGTTTCATAATAAACACACGCTTGGTGTTTCTGTTTTGTTTGGTTCTTCCTATAGTGATTTCTGTGATAATTTGATACATAACATTTTCAAGGGAAGAATCGATAAAGATTTTAGGATATCTTACATTGTTGAGTCATGTCCTCCCCCTGTTTTTATAGATGATGATACAAGTCTTACTTTTTATCTAACTTTGAAAACCTTACATCCATCTTTTTCCCAGTTTCCAATTTGTGTTGAGTTCATTGCACATCAAGTTCCTTCAAAATGCCATACTTCTCATAATACTTCTATCCTCATACCTTCAGAAAGTATATCATTTGATTCACCAAAGGTTCCCTCTTCTTCTTCAGTTG